CCATCCATCCCTAACATCTATCCATCATAACTATCAATCCATCCATCCATCCCTAACATCTATCCATCCTAACTATCAATCCATCCATCCATCCATCCCGAACATCTATTCATCATAACTATCAATCCATCCGTCTATAACCATCTATCCATTCCGGCAATCTATCCATCCCGACCATCTAGTCATCCTAACTATCAATCCATCTATCCATCCCTAACATCTATCCGTCATAACTACCAATCCATCCATCCCTAACATCTATCCATCATATCTGTCAATACATCCATCCCCAACATCTATCCATCATATCTATCAATACATCCATCCCTAACATCTATCCATCATAACTATTAATACATCCATCTATTAACATCTATCCATCATAACTATTAATCCATCCATCTATTGCCATCTATCCATTCCGGCAATCTATCCATTCCGACCATCTCAGTAGCCTTCTAATCCATCAATCTATTCCTCTTTCCCAACATATCTTCTTTTATCTATTAATCTCACACCCCAGCAATGAAATTATGTTTAAACCGACAACATCTGTGTCATCAGTTTGTCTGATGAAAACAGTTACTCTCACGTCACTCGTGTTCATCCTAGGTTGCGCACGGCTGTGATCCAGACGCGTGGAACATGGGTCCTAATGGTTGTACCCAGTCTCTTCTCCATCGTGCCATTAGCGAAGGTGACGAAAAGGCCGCTTGCTTCTTGATCAGAAGTAACTGCGATCTTAACAGGTAAGATCTGACATACCATACTAAGCATTTTACTCATTTTACCGCGTGCCGGAGATTCATATTTTGATGACGTCACGATAAGGCTGTCACGCATTATCGTTTTCGATTAATGACTCATAACCTGTACAATGAAAAGTTTTTATAATTGTAGAGATTCCCCTCATACGAAACTAAAGTGATTGGCAAAATATGAACAAATTCGGTACAATGGAAAAATGTCGCATTGTTTTAGATTCTGTAGCACCGAATCTTTTACGTTCTTGTCATATTAAAGATAACCGAGGAACTTGGCTTATACGAAGTTTTGAACGAATTCACCATGAAATTTTTTTAGAATTCTAATTTAATTTTAAATTTAAGTTTTCTAGACTATTTAATGTGTAAGTTTTTTTCATGTATTCAAACTCGCGACCGGATCTTTTTCTAATAAAAGAAAACTCCTTATCGCTATTAATACTACTTCGACGATACGGAAAGCAACTTGCCAGAAGACAAACAAAACAAAGATGACGGGAAATATGTAGTATATGTAGTATAGTTTCGTGTGTTTGTCTTTATTTTATTGGTAAAGGTGATCGATGTGCCGTCTTGATTCATTTTTTGTTGTATTCTCTTGTGGTGAGCTGTTAATATCAATCAACGTTATTACTGTAACAAAGCTTTATTTGACCCCGAAACGCCCCATAATGCCTTAGGAACACCCTAAAATCAAAATGATATCTATCAATGTACCAATCTTTATCAAAAAAGCATGAGTTTTGTGGCAACGAGAAATAGAAAACGCAGCGCGCAAAATTTTGATGCTTTCGTAGGATCTTATATGCATATGATTGGTTTTCAGTCCTCGAAGACCTGGCCCGGGTGGAGATGGAGGTGTAGAGGCCTGGGACGGGTTGAGTCCACTTCATCTCGCTTGTGCTGCAGGATTGGATAACATTGTGCAGTGTCTTGTAGAACACAAGGCGAATGTTAACAGTAAAGTAAGTAAAGTCACCTACGCTACAATCCTTGTCAGAATCTGTATGTATGTGAAGAACGGTACCTTGACGTGTTCGAGCATTTTAATTGGATAACGTTAAGAATAACAAGATTCTAATAATATTATAACTTCATAAACGTCGCTAGTTCCTTCACCTACGTGGCTGATTAGTGCTCTGGTTTAAACGTAAAGATCCTGAGGATCAAACCGTTGATCTCTTGCGCCGAAGTCCGCGCACTAACCAACTGAGCTACGTATACGCGCTACGACTACTAGCGGCTGCGTAGGAGACTTAGCAAACAAGTTTATGTTGAGTCTTCAAACAATTCAATTGCTTGGTTCTGCTCTTGCATCAATATACCCGTAATTACGCCACAAATCCCAAAAATCTCCTTATATTCGAATCTTTAGATATCAATCTCGCATATACATTCCCAAAAAGAATAGAAAGCGAAAACTGCTTAAAAACCTGAAGGTATAAAGGAAGGGTTTTTGAATCACATGCATTCCTTTAGAAAACAAAATGTCGCGTTGCCGGCTTATTTGACGTCACCAGCCCAGTCTCCCTTGTCGCTCTGTCATGTTTTGGAAATTTCGCTTTTAACCGCTCGCAATAGCATAGGAAGAAGCGTCAGAATAAGAAAAAAATGTCTCTTAGGATAACTTATATTTTGACATTAAAAAAATGTGTCATAAGCACTTTAAACGTTTGCCTTTGTTCCAGGATTCAGAAGGTCGTGCGCCAATACACATAGCAATAAATACCAATCACCCAATCGTAACACGTCTATTGCTAAGCCATCCTGAACTTGACATGACGGCCAAGGACAGATCAGGAAAAACACCCTTCGCTGTGGCTTTGAATACACGTAATCACGAAGCGGCGGCGGCCATCTTGGCACGTGAACTGGGTGCTGCTGAACAAGTGAGGAATGAAAATCAAAAAAGTGATAACATATTTTGGGAGTAAATGTCTTTGAAAACACTGTAAATTACAAAGAAATGTATGGTCGTGTGGCATCCATACATTTCTTTATAAATCATTAATCAAGAAAATTTTACTCCCAAAATATTGAATTTTTCAGTAGTTATTAAAAAAGACATTCTCTTTCGCTTTCTGGAGTCGGTTTGCTTGTAGCTTGAATTTTTTTAATGTTGATGATGAAAAAACGTAAACAAAGATCGTAGTAAGGATCGATCCATACGCAACCCAGTAATAATCGTGTATTTAACTCTTATAGCAAAACAAGACAGAATTAAGAACATAGATAAGCATTTGCTTCAGAATTTCTTTCTTTTTTTATATTTCAGTTCGATTCGAAAGGTCGCAACTTCCTCCATTCTGCGATCCTTAGCAACGATGTCGACACTGTTTTGTTCCTCATTGGGGTGAGCGCCGATGTTAACTCGCGCATACAAGACTCGACTCACAGAACACCGCTTCACCTAGCAGTGACTGTAGGCTCAGAAATTATCGTACGGCACCTCGTAAGTCGCTTGTGATACAATTGGTTTTGATATAAAATTGCTCATGACAACTCCGGGAAATCATGTTGGATGACAGGAACGACACCATTCTATTGCTCTGCCTTCCAATTTGCCTGTCAGCAGGCGTAATGATCTGGGCACGGTTGTACGAAGGATCTAATGTTGTTATCCAATAAATTTATTCAATGGATAAGATTTATCCATGGGATAGCGATATTCACCCTTCGTAAAACCGGACTCATTTACCAATGTGTTATTTTCTTGAGAACTATTGAGCTATATTATAATAGCTTAAAACCATTTTGAAATCGCTGAAAAGCGTCTGTACGGAAAAATTCTCCTATGTTGTTCATTTTGCGGTAAACTAAAGCCCGTTAATCTCAAGAACAGGTGTTAGTGTGGTGCCAGAAACAGAAGTGGGTTGAAACGTGAACAGCCATACATTTCTTTTGTACGATACTCAGGAATATTCAACTTTTTTCTTGACAAATTTCTTTACAGTAAATCACGACTTCTTGCTTCAAAAATAACCAAGACCAAATTAAAGACAAATATCCGAAATGTTTGATTGAAAGATTCAGTACATTTTGAAAGTCAGGGAATTCACCGAAAATTTTGACATGTAATAAAAGCCTAATATGGTATCAAAACCCCTAATTTACATATCTGAATTTTCTGCAGCATGGTTATAATGTTACACATTTCGACCTCCTTATAAGTGTCTGGCGTACATCATCTTTTTTACGCACATAACAGCTTCCAAGCATTCGTAGGGGCGATATTGTTACTCTCTGTTGTTGCTGCTGCGGTATATATTTTCGCTGCTGTTGTCGTTCCTGTTGTTGTTTTTGTTGTTGATGATGATAATGTTTTTGTTGCTCCTGCTATGCTGCTGCTTATGTTATTGTTTTTGGAAATTCTACTAATGTACTTTTTCTAAATGAAGGATGAATATTTAAAAGAAATGTTTACTGTTACTTCAGCTGTTGGCTGGCGCTCGTGTCAATGATGTGGATAAACACAGGCAGACCGCTCTGCACATGGCTGCTGCAAGCAAACACGCGTCTATTATCAGTGCTTTGTTAAGAGAAGGGATTAATCACGATGCTGTGGATGAGAAGGGCAATAACGGTACGTGTTCAGACTATATTCATTTTGGCAAAAATCAAACCAAACATTAATTTTATTGAACCCTGAAAATAGCGTTATGCTGATCTAATTGGGGGCATGGCTACCTCACAGTTTGAAGCCTGCAACAACCTCTGGGCTGATCAAAGTCAGCACATTTTCAGGCTAATTTAGAGAATAGCGTTAAGGTGACTTTTAACTCGCACGCAATGGCGTCAAAAACACTAGGATATTTCTGAATTTAGCACATGTAGTAGCTCAAGCATTATATGTGATGTCCAGTATAATAGGAATCGAACGCGACCCCAAGAGGTGAATGATGAGTTCACGACCACGCCTGATTCTCAATGTCCTTATTATGACATACATTTACCAATAAATTGTTGATATTTTCGTTGCCGTAACAGCTCTTCATGTGGCAGTCCAGTATGGTCACGTGGAATGTGTACGCATTCTTTTAACGGAATCTTCTATCAACGCTGAAGCTATCAACACGAGGTAGGGTCTTTATTGAAGTCTTTAAAGGTACAGAGTATCTTATCTTATATTGATTGTAATCGCTTTATTTATTATGGTCTTGACAATTATTTACCTTTAAATCATAAACTACCCGGTCAGCATTAATATCGTTATCGTCACCATCATCACCATAATTGACGTTTCCCAAAATCAATGATATCGTGTTTCGAACCTTAAATACTGTAGCTTGGATATTGTACTGCTTCTAATTCTATTGACACCAAGCTGTGGATAGTGACGAAAAATTGCTCTCTAAACGAGCGATCGTTAAAACGAACCATCTTTCAGATGAGTTTATCTCGAATTTATTCTTGGTTCCCAAAAAGACAGGTGATCTTAGACCAGTCATCAATCTTAAACCACTCAATGAGTTTGTTCGTACTATCCATTTTAAGATGGAAAGTATAGATT